TGCTTCAAGCTGCAGAGCTGTATTCTTTGCAGAATCAAGGCTAAACATTGGACTGTTTGGCTTCCCTGCAACAAGTGCCAATCGATATAGAACCTGTGTCACTATTGGATCTTCAAGAGAATGTCCTAGCCTCTGAACAAGCCTCAAGAATTTCACTCTTATTTGCTGCAACTTTTCCAACTTCTTTTTCTCTTCTTCACTCAAATTGACCTCAGAGTCTCTCCCAGCCATGGTGGTCGGAAAAGTGAACAAGTTGGGATGGTGTGACCTTGGAGCAGGTTTCATATTACCAAGTGAGGATCCCAAACCAGCAGGATGCTCAACAGAGAAAAGCCTGGATCTGTCTTGAGACGTTATGCTGATGCCACCACCATCAGAGTCAGCACCTGTTGCTGCCTTCAAAAGGGCTGCCAAAGCAGTAGAATCAAGTAACTCCTTTCCCTCCCCTTCCTCATCAGTGTCTACTTCTTCATCCGAGTCAGTAACAACCTGGCCATCAATTCTCAGAAAATGATCATTAGAACTATCGGCAACTGGATGAGAACCAGCACCTGATCTCTGTTGCAACTCCTCCAAGAACCTTTTGGCAGCTTCAGAGCTCTCAAGGATCATGTCATCAGGTTCCCCATCTGTAATGGAGCCTTCAACTTCAAACTTCTCGTCATCCTGCTCATCTTCTGTCACTCCATCAACAATAAAATTAGCAGTCTGAGAATTAACTTTTTCCTCAGCATCAACATCAACTTTAAGTTTGCTGGTCTCCATTGTGGTTTCAAAATTATCCTGAGCTAAATGCTCAAAATTTGTGTCTCTCGCAATATCTGATTCAACATTTTCAAACCCATTAAACAAGCTCACATCCCCAACAATCCCCTTAATCTCAGACTCCCTGGTCTCCCCAGTATATGCAATTGCTAAGTCATGCACAGCACCAGTAACCAAGTCTCCTCCACCAATAAATTCCACACCCTCTAGCCCAACCACCTTATCACCAGCCAGTTCTTCAGTCAATGAAGCCCCTTCTCCAGCAGCACCAACCAAAACTAATCTATCCTCAACCACAAAACCCGCCTCTCTACTTTCCTTTGGTTCAGCTTCAGCAAATTGTTTGTGATTAGAAATCTCATCTTCAACACTCTGTCCACCATTCAATTCAAATTCAGTCACTTCCATATCCAGCTTCGCCACCTCAAACTCACCCAAATTTTCCTTCCCCTCCAAGTTCAAATCACCTCTTTGTCCCTCAAACCTATTAATTAAAGTTTCACCTCCATTCCCCTGTAGAGACTTACCACCACCCCAAAATGACTCCTCTTTCAAAACCATAAACTTCTCTACAATCTCATCGTCATTATCAACATTAGCCGACACTTTCTCCGTCGGCAAAACAACCTTACACATTGAACCTTCCAAATAATCAACAAAAGGGACATCGCTATCTCCCCCAACAATTGCCTTCCCCCCAACTGGTCCCATTACAGTCGGCCTCTCCACCACCGCCCCAAACTCCTCGCCACCAATAGCAAAACCCCCATTCTCATACCCACCATTATGACCTACACCAATATTTCCATCATCAACAACCTCAAAATCCCAAAATATATATATATATATATATATATCAAACATAGAATCATTAAAAGACAGACAAAGATGAAGAAATTGCACCTGACGAGTTCAAAAGTTGTGACGCAGTTCCTGATGCAGCAACATTGGGCTCCATGGATGAAAGCTCTCGCCTTTCGATTACCCAGAAACCGCAAGAGAGAGACTGATCAGG